TTTCTCGACAAGTGATTTTAATTTAGACTTTCAGATAGAATTTGAGAATATTTACGCCTCTAACGTGAAGCAAATGCCATTTCAATATTTAAATGATAGGCTACAAGATTACTTGGCACACGTGAACATAAACAACATAATTGCGATTGATGCATCCGTATCAAATTAAAAGGCTGGGGCAGGTAACGTCTTGCTTTTCCGTGACGGGTCCTTTTTGGTTATGCTTTCAGATTACACACCAATATTCATAGCATAATGATTTGCTATTGCACTGGCATTGTGCAAACTTCCTTCGGGCAAATCAAAAGCAGTCGTATATGCAGATTCTTTTTCAGTAAGTGCTGCTCTGTGTTCGGGAGCCACCTTAACATTTATGCATATGTTTCGACAGCCCATACCGACGAACTTGCAAAACCTTCAGCTCTTAAGGGTACCAGGCCATCGTGGCATGTATCTCAATCAGATGGTGGATGCAATGACCACAGTATTTCTTAGCGGTTCCCTTATCCCTTTTTTGCCTCCTGATACGGCTTAGGCGACAGCAGTAGGGTATAGAAACCTTTGTTTGCGTAATAAAATCAACACCTACTCACAGAATAAATTTTTAGATTTCACACATCTAAGGTGCTGCTGGAATAAACAGTGGTGCGCAACATGCAATTGGAAGTTACTTATACCAGATTGCGTTGAAGAATTCCACAACTAAATTATTATTTACATAAAGTTGGTCTAAAGGCGTCACCTTAATGTCAGGTTTGCGGAGAAATGGAAACGATAGATAATTTCTTTTCATTCTGTCGCCGATATTCTTATCAGTGGAAAAGACACGTGGTAGCTCCACTTGAAAAATTAGGTTTAGAGTTAAATGTGGCAGTAATTTTATCGTTTGGCACCATTACATTGGGTTATAGCCACAGGGACGTCTGCTCTGCGGTTTTTGACTACATACTTGAAACAAACGATTGCCTTGCTAGTGTGACTTTTTTATATCATTCGTTTTGGAGCCACCACACCCCTGTCCTAAAGTATATCTGATAGCCTGCATCGTTGCTCAGATATACTCCTTTATGATTAGTGACATTAACGAGGGTCTCGTACTAGCAGACTTGGTGCCGTTAGGGTGTATACGAGGGACTATTGGTCAGCTGCCAGCTCGTGATAAGTTCACGTGCTACGTGACGCCATACAGGCTCATAAAAAGAATGTGCCACACTCGCCGCTATGGCTACAGGTGGCGCTGACTAACACTCCCATGTTTAAATTCACATATAAACCCAATAAAGTGGCTGGGAGGATAGCCGCCGTGATAGCTCAGTGGTAGACCATTGAACGCGTTATTCGAAGGTCGTAGGTTCGGTTCCTGCTCAAGGCAAGTTATTTTTCATCCACTTTTCTGTCTTTTTATTTACATTACATTGGTTTTAATAACTTCCCCTATGCATTCCCTTGCATTACTGTCTGTTAGATGTCATGTATATGTATATATATGCGCCGAAATGCCAAGGATCGTCATCATCATTTTTTTTACATTGCATAGATCCTAAATTCCCGCTGACATTAACCGCCGGATTTATTGCCCATTTCCCTTCGAAGGTAAGAGACAATACGGAAGAACAAGTAAGCAAGCAAGCAGCCGCTGGCAGCAGGCCGTTGCAGCTTGACATCGGCGGAGTAAACATGGCTGCTAGTTTGTCTCGGTGTCTCCTCTGGGATTCGCTGTAGCACGAAACCCCACATTTGGCGCCCAACGAGAAGGACGACACCACTGGGCCACGGATGTCGAAGCGACCTGGTAGTCTGCGACCATGGCCTTCACGATCACGCTAATTGTCGCAACATCTTTGTTGCAACATTTTCTGGCCAGGACGCGCAAGTATTGGTCGTGAATTTCACCGATGACCTGTTTACTTCATGACTGCTCGCACTTTCTCGGAGCTCGAGGTGCTCCGGCGGGTCCTGCCAGCTGCACTGCGAGGGGCCGCGGAATTACAGCGATGACGGACTGCAAGAATATGTTCCGGCAAAGCAGCAGCTATTCGGTCGGACTGACTGCAGCACTCCTGAGACCATTAAGGTGTCACACGTTCCGTGGCGATGCCACCTTCTTGCCCAGCCATTCCTGTTTCACCTCTTTTTGGCTTTCCTCGAGGAGTTTGCCCTATGTTCTTGGAAAGTTGATGAGCCGATTTTTCAAGAGCGCCACTACTATGAGCCTCCCGACGTTCCTCTCGAGCCCACTCAGGCCTCCACGACTAGTTTAGGTTCATGGCTACATGACCTATTTGTGGGCTACTACACTCCCTTTGGTATCCCGCCCTTGAACCCTATGCACCTCGACCATGCTGCCGCAGATGATCCTCATCATGGAATGACGAAGCAGCGTACCTGGGCCAATTTTGCCGTGAGCGCAGATGGCGCACGTGGTGAGGTGGCCTCGGACGATGTGGTGGCACTACATGCCGACGACGTCTGCAGGTACGAGCATGCCCTCGAGAGCCTGAGCTCTGGGTCACCTACAATGGCCATGCTGATCGTCGTGGAAGAGGAAGGCGAGTTCTAGGAAGGTGAGGAAGAAACTGGTTGGTGTCGGCATGGTGCGTGAGATGTCGCCGAGATTGGAGTGGACGCAAACGCAATGTGGGAGGCTGACGTGAGGCGAGACGGCCATGCGAACCGAGAGGCGGCAGGCGATGGCGTGCACGGAGGTGACAACTACGAACAGAAGACAATGAAGTCTGTGAAGGGGCAGAGGAAGAAACGGTGAAGAAAAGGAAAAGCCGGGACGACCTTGATCTTATAAACTGCTGAAGGATGTCATCTTGGAAAGTGACGTACTTCTTCTGGGGAAACCGAAGAGGGCAGTCGGCACAGCAGTAAATATTTGGAAAAATATGTCGGCAGATGACTCGGACAGTGAAGTGGAGCATCGCACTGACCAAAAGACTGAGAAAGTCGAGGCTGAATTGGCCGTGGCATTTGCCAAGAACAAGAACAAGTCGGCAGATGGGCGTCATGTGAGCCGCTTTGAAGTGGCGTAAGGTGACATGAAGGCTACTACTTCAAAGCTCACGAAAAACAAGAGCGACGTGAAAGAGGGAGAAGCAGCGTCGGCGGAAGTGGCCCAGGCGGTGGTCACCAATAGGGAAGAGTCAGCGGATAGCAAGGAGCAGAAAGGCGAGAAGGCCGATTCAAAGCATGAAGAGGATGCAGGCAACGCTCTGGAAGCAGATTCCGAGGGTTTTAGCGCTAATTACAAGGAGGAACAAGCGTTCCACAAGAAAAAAAATCACAGCATATCCGCGGAATGCATCATGGTGAGTGGGGTGAAGCATTCATCAGTCCGTCCACACTCCCGTCCATTCATTCGTTCTTGCTTCTGTCCATCCGCGCGACGGTCTATGCATCCATCCATCCGTCCGTGCGTCCGTCCATCTGTGCATCAATCCTTCCGTGCATCCGCCCATCTGTGCGTGCCCGTTTGTGCGTCTATACGTACGTCTGTCGCGCGTCCGTCAGTGCATTCATCCGTTCAATCATGCGCCCACCCATTCATCCATGCGTTCATCTGTTCATCTGTCCGTACGTCTGTCCATTCGTCCGTCCATGTAGTGAACACTTCAAATATGGCCATCTCGCATATTTTCATCATAAATTCATTATATAGAAATAATTACCGCCATCCAGTGGACCTTTTGAGGACTAAACGAGAGGTGGCAGGGCCGAACTAGAGTTGCGGGACGCGTGCACTTTCTTACGCATGGACTTCATGTCTAGTTCCCACCTTTAACCACCTCTTGTTGATGGCAATGTGGCCCAACCCTCACAAAAGCTTGCTAAAACCAAGGAGGTTACGCCCAGTGAGTTGAACAAGGCAACCCTTTTTGGCTGAATAGCACTAAATGTGCGTCGTTCTGATACTACTTTTTTTAAGTAAGCATCAAATTCAAGGCAAATTTTTTGGAGGTTATGTCACCAATACTCTCCTCTGTAGATTATTTCATCAGAAACAACTATCTTTTTTATTCATGAGTTACGTGCGTGCGTTTCCTCCTCAATTATATTGAGTGCGTGCGTGGCTCTCCTAGTCCGGCTGCGGAGGTGGCTGCGTACTACTACGACGCACTACTATTGCATACTTCGCGAACGCATGACCCACGACTTAAGGAGCGTCTCCCCTAAAAGGCAACTACGGACAACAGTAGCAAGCACTTGGCCACCTCGGCAACTGCTGACCAGACAAGGAATAATGAACGCCGAGTTGCCTGTGTGTGGTCGTGTGTGCCACGTGCAGTCCGTCGTGCCCTGGGTAGACAAGACAAATGCACGGACTACTGGTGTGAAATAGCCGGCGTCTTTTCCACTCTTTCTGAGGGGAGGAGGACAGTATGCCAGCGGGGGCCACGATCGCACCCAACGTGGCAGAGGAGGACGATGATCGTGGGTGGGTTCGTGGCACGCGGTCAGCAGCTGCTGGCAACGGGAAGTTTCGGCCGAGCATCGGTGGAGACAAGATGGTTGCTAGTTTGTCTCGTAATGTTCCCTGAGGGTTTCCGGGCTAGCCGCTTTCCGAAACCCCACAGTATGAAGAATAAAAGTCGGCCCGGCAGGTAAAGTAAACTGCAGCGCTGTGTCACTAATTTCTGACTCTTATAATAAATTGAATTATTATTGCGCGCTTTGGCGGCATATGTTTATCTTCACAAACGGGAAACGTATTTGTTCAAATCCTTATGAAAAACATTCCCAGTCCCGTTATGGTGAACGTGATAAAACAAATCAGTTTGGGCTTGTCACATAAAAAAGCAGTCATTGATTTTTTTTGCAATCGGCTGGATTGGGCCGACTGAACGTCGAGACGTATTCGGTTGATCTAACCGAAAGGGTTGTGCTCACGTGCCCAATGCTCTTGATATGTGCACGTTAACACGGACACGCCACTCTCGGTGTATTTTTCTACCGACAAAACTCGCATAATGTACACGTGTATTGAAAGACTCAACCACGTTATATTCTTTTTATTATAATTCCTTGAATCAAGAAAATGTTGAACGCTTCACTCTTAAGTTAACGCAGAAGTCCGGCAACTGCCATTTAAAAGACTGATAAGATATGCGTGAAACACAGACATTATCACGGATGACATGAAGGTATGCAATATCTCGTATACTACTAGAGAATAATGCGCAGATATGTTCTATGGTGACATTTTTTTCGTGGACACACTCCTCTATATATATATATGAATGAATTGAAAAAGTGTCCTCTCATTCAAGCAATACCACTGTAGCACCCGCCTACTTTCCAAGGCAACCAATTCATCGGAATGTAGCAGGGGGCCAGCAGGGTTGATATGTTCTGCCATCATTCTTTGGCGCAGTCTCTCAATACATGAGGGCCAAGAAAAGTAATAAGCTAGTCTATTAGAACACGAAACCTTCGCGGTATTCACCCACTCGGTGTTTTCATCTTCGCAACATTCACTGTAGCTATACAACTTGTGGTGGAGTGGCACTGTACATTCAAATAAGTGGAAGCGCATGTTGGTAAAGCATGCCACGAAAAAACAAAAAAACTACGAAAACTCTTGATTAGTGTTCCAGCAGGTTACTATTTTGTGGGACGGCTGCGTGAACATACCTCTTTTGTGTGTCAGTGCACGAAATCAAACAAGGTCATGGTTCTACCCTTCCATCATGCGCTTTCGAAGAGAACGATTTCGCCTACGCGGACCTACCGCCTTCATGATCACAAAAAACCTGTTGATTTACGTTCAAACGTGGCGCTTGATAAACGCGCTCAAGCCAGCCTGCATGCACATAAAGTAGGCGCGAAGGAAGGGGCGTTGGTGGGAAAATAAATGCATTTGTGGCCCGCAACGCACTCGAATCGTTCATATACACTCGGATAATGACAACTTAAGGCTGGCCCTTTTTCGCATTGGCTTCGTGAGAGCCACAGAGCGTGCCATTGTCCAATGTCCACGTGTGCTTAGATGTGGCCCAGAGCTTGATGTGGACGACGATCCAGATGATGGCACCCAGTGTCACTACGGAGCCGCAAAAGCGGAAAAGGTTGTCGTAAGATCCCACCTTGTCCCGGAAGTAGCCTGTACAAGAGCGTAATGAAGCACATATTGAGAGTATGCTCTAAATAAAGGCGGCAAAGTGCATGTTTTTGCAATACGGCTTCCTACTAACTGGCTTGCAGTTTTTTTTTTCGCTGGTGCACATGAGCAAATGATAGCTGGATCAGCCACAATCATAACGAAACCAAGTTCAAAGGTCTTCCTCGTTCAAGAATACTTCGGTCGATCCCTTTAATGGGCACCACGAAGCCCTGGAGATGCCCAACCGGCTTTCAGATAGCCCTTAATGTCAGAACAAAAATTATGCTTCAATGAACTTGCTACTTCCCAATCACATATCCAACAGCTCCAAGCACTACCCACGTCAGAATCATCCTGTCGAAAGCAATGACAGTGCTATATTCATTCGAAAATATAGAAAGTTATGACAAAGGCCTTAAGGCTGGAGGTAATGCACCAAACTGCAGAGTCTTGAAGGAAACACAAGTTTAATAGTAGCGACAGTGTTCGCAGTCCACCAGTTTTCTAACCTTCATTTTGTCGTTCACCCTACCAACCATATAAGGAAGCCTTTCATGATGGTATTTGGCGGGTTTTCATGCTGGAAACCACGGCATGATCATGAGACACGACGTTCCGAAGACGACCACCACATGAGTTTATTAACGTGTACTTATAACTGAGTACAGAGACCTGTAGCATTTTGCCTCTATGGCGAAATGCGACAGCCATAGTCGCAATCGGATTTACATCTTTCTTTTCGGTAGCCACACACCGCAACTACTATTGCACCGCGGTGCCTTGAAATAAGCGTGGTTGCCTAGCCTACACAAACGAAAAGGTATTAGTAAACTTGTGAAAACATATGTACATGTTAGACAGCATTCTTTCGTATTTAATGCATCGCGAGTGATGGGGTGCGCATGATAAATTTATTCATGTCCGATACACACAATATAATACGGGTCTGGATACTGACCATATTTATGACAACTTATGATCGACGTTAGTTGACGCTACGCAACATAAATCACTAGTGTAGGGCTTGTAACATTTTTAAAGGCCCTGATGGAGGCCTGGCGCCTGATTCCATTACACCTGCATCGACCTCTTTATGTATTCCGAGAATTTGCAGCATGGTTTGAAATCCACAAGCAACTTCTTAAACTCGCAAGAGCGTATCGGGTACCGTCATAAGATGACGCCAATACTCACCAATTACGAGTGGCTTTCCCAGTGACGTCATCCCCGCAGACGCTGACACCATGCCATACGCCATAGACACTCTTTCGATGCCGACGTACTCCGCGCACAGCACAGAAAACAACACTACGGTAGTGCCGATGCAGAATGCAATCGCCGTCGCCATTGCGAACACTACAGCGTAGCTCTCCGCTAACGGAAGCATGATGTACAGAGATCCCATCCACACGAAGCTGATGGTCATCAGGGATTGACGAGTGAAGTATCCTCTGTCAGCCAGTGCCGGAAGTGTCAGCCGACCGACCAGGTCGGCCACTGAACTGGTTGAGAGCACGGTCACCGCGTGTGAAACACTTATTCCACGGTCAATCGCGAAATCAACCAGTAGCGAAATATAGCACTCGAAGGCGAAGCTGAACGCAATGTAAGAGTACATCACCACGTAAAACATGGGACACGAGAACACGGTAAGGCCGTGACGAAATGATCCTGGCACTAATTCCTGTTTTTTCGCACTTGCGTGGCCATCTGTCGATCCATTTGGAATCGCATTGCGGCTGGCTTTTGCGGTGTGGCCAGCAGTGTCAGTCACACTGCGCAGCTTGTTTTCTTGGGCCTGCTTGTCCTTCTGCTCCTTCAGCTTCTTCTTTAGCCATGATGGCTGACGCAGAAAGAGGCTGAAAGCCACGGCATTCAGACAAAGAGCACCGAAGAGCAGCAGGGCACTTTTAAAGCCGTAGTGATTGGTCGTCAGCTCGAGGAACTTTGGAAAAACGAATGTGCCCATGGTAGCACCAGCGAAATTGATTCCCATGGCAAGACCTTTGTAGCGAATGAAGTGCTCGTTGATGACAGTCGGAATAACGACAAACAGCATACCACTGCCGATTGCTGAAAGGAGAGAAGATGTTACGATCTTCGTACTCTGGAAAGTCACAACTACTTGTCACCTAGAGAGCCCAACACAATATATTCACAACAAAGGTCTAAAAAACGCCTATAACCACCCCACAGCACCGCTTGCAGGCTGAAGCCAGGTTACATGTGCCTGAATGTGGCTGAAAAGTGCCTGTATTGAGACGTAGTTGAGGTAGACACGACATCTCCGCAATAATAATGATGTAGGTTGTCAACGCTCGCAGTAGAAGTTTACTTGACAATGTTACTCATTTTTCAGACAATTGCATTAACACTGTACTTGTCGTCACGTCACTTCTCTGCATTTGTGAACACACGCTCGTAATATTACAATTTAGTGGTGAATAAGTAGCAAATCAAAGAAAGCAAAAACAACATTTAGATACCTCCACTTATGATGTACACTCAATAGTAACCACTTTGATGGGGTTTTTTTTTTTTTTGAACCATGAATGTATTTTTTTATGTAAAAGGTACTATTTTCAAAGCATAAAGAAACGCTCGGTTCTGTTAAATCTAGCTTTGATGAACCAGAAGTGGCTTTCCATAGACTCGAAACAGATCATATGCGTAAGTGATTCGCTGCGTTTGGTTGAGTTGCAGAGCAACTCAATCAAACGCAACATCGACTTAGTGGTGCCTTGCTAAAAACCTAGCATAAAGTATCGCTCCGTGAAACGTATCGAAAGGAAGCGTCACTTGACAAGACGTAATAAAACGAAGCATAACCTCTTAAGGTTCAAGGCCAGCTGGGTTCCGGTCAGTTCAATTGCTTCTCTAGCCTTGAGTCTCTAGTGGGAGCTGCAGTATTCGTCCCAACTTCGCACGTAAATATACAGATAAGAGTTTTCATTTTTAATTTTTTAAAAGGCGTTCATATATAGATTGTACGCGCTCATTGGCGGCTTTGAACATGGCTTAAGGTATATGTCGTATATCGTGGCCTTGAAGGATTCAGTATCTCGAACACCATTCTAGAGTCAATTCAATGCTTCAGCGAGAGCATATAGCTGAGAGCTTCTCTCGTGTAGTGTCATTACAGAGCAACAAAGCTACAGAAAGAACAGTACACATAACGGTACAATGCACGCTCTGTTTATTAGCTTTAAGATATCTATCTGCTTGAATTTAGGTGGGTATCGTTGTGCTGCATGCTTGTCTCTTTCCAGCATCATAAATGTGCACCTACGTTATGCATGCCTGTCAATGTCTTTTGTGCACTCTCTGAATAAATGTATGCAATATTTTTGGTACTTCTTGTGAAGTTTACGGTTTTTTCTTCTGTTTTTCTCGCTTGAAGCAAGGTACTCTAACAAAGAAAGAGTTTATAGGCAACGCAAGTGCACCTACCAGTCAAAAACTGATCGTTCAGTTGCAATGAATTTCCTAGGCCATCATCGAAGTCCGTGTTTACTAGCATTTTCTCATGCAATAACTATTAGAAGCCTACTTACAGTGGACAATACCCAAGCTGAAAACGAGGTATTCAGTGTTGGTGGCGAAGTACGAAACCATGAGTCCAAGGGCTCCAATGAAGCCGCCGACTATCGCCACAGGTCGTGGAGTATATCGATGCGCTAACGGCCCAGCAATGAGACCTGAAAATACAGACAAAAATATAATACGCTATTTACCTGAATTGCCTCTCGAAAGAATGCGCTTTAGACGTAGTACGATGTGAACAGTACCATGGCCTTATTTAAGGTGCCTTCTACGTTAGCCCGGATGCTACCCACTATATTCAAAATCCTTGATGATTGATTGATATGTGGGGTTTAACGTTCCAAAACTACCATATGATTATGAAAGACGCCGTAGTGGAGGGCTCCGGAAATTTCGACCACCTGGGGTTCTTTAACGTGCACCCAAATCTGAGCACATGGGCCTAAAACATTTCCGCCTCATTCGGAAATGCAGCCGCTAAAGCCGGGATTCGATCCCACGACCTGCGGGTCAGCAGCCGAGTACTTTAGCCAATAGACCACCACGCGGGGCTTCAAAATTCTTATGTCATGAGCATGGAAATTAGTTACACACAATTCAACTTCTATAAATGAGCACTGGCCAGCTCATGTTCACGAGATACTCTAGTTTTTAGTTTTTCATCAAATTCCCAAAACACTCTAGTATCTGGTATTTCACCGTTATTAATATTCGTGCACGTGAATCTTGCGTGGCAACTACGAATGAGGTATTCGTGCATTAAGGTCAACATATATCAGCCAATGAATTAACAAGACGCACGAACAAGTCACAATCAGTTAAACGATTTGACAAACTTCTCGCTAGATTTGGCAGTTTTACTGATATTCATATCTACGAATGAAGTTGCTGATCCAATAGCGTTGCTTTCCAATGAATAGTATAGCCATGTACAGTCATAAGCTGCGTTCCTCTGTGTGAGCCCACCTTAAAAGCTCTAGCGTTGTTCGCAGTGGTCCCTTCGTTCAAGATATTTTCATTTTAGTACAGACTACTCGAGCTTGCAACATTTTGCGTGGTGATTGCCTGCCACGTAAGTTTCACATATTTGAAATTTCGGGCCAATTAGACATATGTGCGAAAGAAATGCAGTGCACTTTGTATGTTCCTTTTGTGCCAGGCTATCTTGAAAGCGCTTGCTTATGTCAACACTTGTGAGCATAAATTTTAGTATAACTCATAGGGCGAAACTCAGTCAGCGGGATCTTGAGCAGCCATTCTTGCTGCACCGTTGTAGATATTAAGGAAACTCATGTGACTGAACCTGTTAGCAGCAGCACGCCGCCGAGTAATATGATGGGCCATGCAGCCTGTGTTCTGGTGGCGCCGAAGGTGTCCAGAATGGCCACGTACAAGAAGCCACTCGACCTTCGTCCACCGACGCCGAAAAATGTAGCAAGGGCGCATGCTCCTGCAAATCAAGCAAGCGCGAGTTTACACACACACCCAGGTGCGTGTGCACGCACGCTCACTCACAAATAGCACTGTCGTTTTACTGTAAATGAAGTACAAAGGAATTGTACTAATTTGCAAATTAACGTTTGCAGCTGACACGATTACACTACGGCATGCTATAAATGATTGAAGATGTACCACCCCGCAAGTACGCACTATTTCAATGGAGTTCTTCACGTCAATGCGGCTTGTCAGCTCGGGCTCAGTGACGATATGCACGTCCATGTAATTTTTTGCCCTTTGGCAACGTTACTTACACCTTGACGTAATGTGAGTAAAGTTGCCAGTAATGTTAGAACTGCCTTTCTGCCATATCTGATTTTGCAGTGCAGCCGATAATCTGCTTACTACACTAGAGATTGCTTCAAAAGGGCTCCGCGAAGTAAAGGTTACAAAGGGTACATCCACAAAGTTTATTTATTTATTTATTTTTTATTTATATCACAGTGTATAAAGGGCCGTAGTTGGGAGAGGGCGAAAAAGGAAAACGCTTAAAAGAACAGAATTTCAGCAAGCAGCCGAAACTTTCAAGCTACTCATGCACAAAGAAAATGCGCATCGCGCAAGTTTATAAATTAATGTTCTTGGTGAAGCACTCGCAGTACTCGCACCCACTCAATTTTAATGGGGACTCGTACATAGAAAAATATTGCGCAAAGGCCTCGGTGGAACACCTTACTGCCCGATCTTCTCTTTCGTGCTCATTATTGTTAGATATGTAGTGTGTGATTGTAATATGTAGTAACAAGTATTATTGACAGCTTGATTACGCTTAGTCGGAAGAAAAATTGCCAACTACGACGATTTTATACATGCCGGAAGAGCTTTCTGTGACTTAAGCGATGACGTACACTCACTAGTCTTGTCCGTGGACTCGCTGCTTATAAGGAGACGTGAATTTCAGCACGAAAAAGGTACTCTTCAACAACGCCAGAAAAGCACCATTCATCACGCACCTCACATCTCGCTGTCAGTCATGCCGACTAGGACCGCAAACAGCGAGTAAGAAAACACAATACTCCATTCTCTCAGGGTCATATATTGAAGGTTAGCATGGAATGAAACCCTCGAAACGGTACAGGGTAATTTTCAGTTTGGCACATTACTTCCAAATACACCTTACCAATCGAAAACAAAAACCGAAGGTTGAATGCAAACACAACAGGCACTGCAGACGCTGCGATGCTGTAGTTGCGCTTTTGGCTCACGCTGTTCGCACCGCATTCTCATAGCACAGACCACACATATCGGTGGTATCTCAAAACAGTTTTCTTAGTACAAAAGGCGAGCTAGATGAATTTTCCTAGAATAATTCACAACACGGTACGCAAGTTGTCTACAAAAGCAGAACAGATGTAAACACAGCATTCTTACTGCGTGAATAATTCTGAGAAAGTGTGTGACTGGTGAAATTGCAGTATCTGCTTAAAGTCATGCAGAGTAGTTAGTCTTCGTAATAGGCCTCCTTTGAACATATCTCAGACTACAAATATCAGACGAAATTTTTACGGCGGGCTCGCGTAGCATGGTGTAGAAGAGTTACATGCGCACACAGAAAAGGAGTTTATTCGAAACAGATCAAACGTTTCAGCAACGATCTGGTTAAACTGGGTTTTCTATCAATATCGACCGTACGTTTAAATTGTGGACCCAGTAGTGCACCATATGTGCACCTAGGCGTTGAAATTAAATGAATGTTACTCAATTCTATCGAGCTTTCATCAAGAAAGAGTATATAGCCGGAAACCTAGAGACGACTGTAAAAACTATATTGCAATACCTATGTATAAATCATTACACTAGCATTCAGCAGTGTGTTCAGCGTGTACCTTGTCCACAGGACGTCACTTACTAATTCAGTTTGAACCAGAATGGACAATTAAAGAAATCTCACCTGCCGTCATCCAGCTGTGGACGCTGTCGGGCCCGTAACGAGGTATTCCTTTTCTCGCATTGCTCGTAGGCGAAGTTGCACACCCGTTCTTTTTCTCGGCAAGAGTGGACGCCTGGTCTGGGACAGTCATGGCGACCAGGCAAGAGGGGCACTTCTAATCACGGGCCATGCACTGCAGGTAAAAAGAAAAAGAAAAACTCCTAAATGACTCATCGAAGCTCTCTTAGACCACTGTGCGCCGCGTGTCGGCAGTACCCTTGAATATTGAATGTCGACGCTGCACACACCCACGCCCGTTGAAAGACCACTATTGAATCAGAACAAGCAGGGGGTTTACTATAGAGTGTACGGCTATTCTTTTCTCCGTTCTATTAAATAATTATCCATGTACTCTCTTACCTGCTATCTTTGGTACGGTGCCAGCCGGGCTTCAAAGCGACTGAGCAATCGCACTGTCACTAAAAGTAACATGTCCCGCCCGTGTATGTGCTAGACCGCCACAACCCTTCGCCGACGGGGCCTTCAAGTTCCCCATGAAGGTCTCAACAAAGTCCCGACAGCTTGAAAGGCGGGACGGGCCGCAGAGCGTAGACGTGTGCCTCATCGAAAGTACACGTGCAGCCGAGTTTTGTTCCCTCTCACCATTGCGCAAAATTTGTCTTCCTTGACAGGGCGTGGCGAGACGCAAACGCCGGCTTACTAGTGTGGCTCACTCGGACACGTACCTCTTCGGTGCCTAGGCAACTCTGCGAGACGGCTTGAATTGAAAAGACGAACATGGTGACGGAAATAACATTCACGGCTCACAATCTATAGATTATGCTTATATAATATAACACGCGCCTATATTGTATTGTCTCACCACCAAACTTCTTTAAATAAGCAAGAGTGAAAAGTAAGCGGGAATAACGTTGCTGAACACGCATTGAATGCTTACAATAAGATACTGATATCTTGGTACACTCTTAGATGGAGCCAGGTCCGTTGCCAGAATTAATTTTTTGTGGGGAGGGGGGAATCGATTTCGAAGGCTTAGAAATAATAAACCTCGTATATTTATTATTTATTCTCAGTAAGGCACACCATTTTTCCTGGGAAGGAAGATAGGCAGCTAATGCATGCTCCCCCCCCCCCCCTCCCTCCATGGCTACTAGCATGAATGGAGCCATGAAGGCAGGGAAGCAAGAACATAGTGTAAGAGCTTAAAGTGAAAATGCAGCTACAGCTACATACTTTCAATATGTGGAATACGCAAACATTTTCCCGTTGTGTTTATATCCCAATACTAAGCTTGAGGTGTCTTGCATGCCGAAACCATCTTATGAGGCGCACCAATTTAGATGGCTCTGGCAATTTTCACCTTTTAGGGTCAGCAGCCAGGAGCCAAAACCTGTGTGCCCCACGGCAGCGTTGTGTTGTCTACGTCTGAAATGGGTGATTAAAATACACCTTTCAACGTTAGTGATGCTGTTATCTCCTTAGCTGAGTGAGTGTCGCATTTGGTGCTTTGTGGTATGATACATACCGATAGTCACGGAAACATGAGTAGTTAATTTAATGCAGTAAAGTAAACCGATGTGTCTCTAGGCTGCTTATTGTGCTTTTATCACCCCGTCTTCGTGGCAGCGCCGAAGTGAATCATTCCAATCGGCCACGCAGCGGCTGGTGTAACACTCTACAAAGAAAAAAAAACATATCCCAATACTTAAAGTTTTATGCGAACTCAATTGTGAATTCGCGACCCATGCACCGTAAGGCTCATGCACCTGTTTTTGTCTGCGCCCGAGTCTGATGCCGAAGACTGCACAAGCTAAGTGTTTTCATCCAGGCATTGCCCAACACCATCGGGCCCTTCGAACATTCGCACATTGTTTCTTCTAAGAAGATGCTGCACCTCATTGCACCCACACGTTATCACCATCATAACGCGAGGTGGCGGCTTTGGCGCCTGTGCGACAATGCACTATCTTTGCGCACGCATCTGTGTGTTGCAGCAAAGTGTCCTACGTTCAGCCTAACATTCAAGTTGTACAGGCGCGTCCAAGGAGAGCGTAGTGCGAAATTTTCAAAATTGGCCGTACAGAATTACAATGCGGTAATAACTGTAGGAGTTATTGCGTCCAGCAACAACGATATGATTATGAGAGATGCCGCAGCGGAGCGATGCGAAAATTTCAATTACCTGGGATTTGGTGAGGTGCACCTAAATCTCAAGACAGAGACCTCTAGAATTTCGCCTTCCCCGAAATGTGGCTGCTGTGTCCTTGACTCAATCCCCCAACTTTCGTTGCGTTAGCTGAGTACATTCATAAGCTAAGGCATTGCTTGAGAAAACAAAGTGAGCAATAAATGTGGTGTTGACGGGCTCTTCACAGCACTAGGCTAGCTGAGGAGGTTGCACCCAGCTATTATTGAAGTAATGAGGCAACTACGATAAAAGAAACATGCCACCAGGTTCACTTTTGTATTGAAGGCATTGTTTACAGCAACCCTTTGTCGGGCTGGAAATATTACGTAGCGTTGACGGCATGCTGCTTAAATTACCGACCAAGAAAGCCCCGGACAGCGGTATCATTGCTTTTTGTGAGAGGAAGGGAGGGGGGGTAGAGGAGGGCGCTTTGTCAACTATTGTAAGCGGTGTGAGTGCACCTCAGCATATAATGCAACGCAGGTGTTAGGATGGGATCGCAACCAGATCTGGCGAGATATTTGTACGGTTGTTCACACACGCCGGGAGGCAGAGAGGCGCTTCGGTGGGGCCTCAGTTGCCCTCACATAAAGAGAGAGAAACAAAGAGAGATTAGCTTCTTGTTGGGTTTCTTGCATGAGCTGCACCTGTGCAGCACGATGACAGAATGATGACACTAGAATCAGTTTGAATGTTTTTTCTCATTCTTTTTGTTATGAGTTTACATGTAGTGGATTGCAAATAAAATTTTCACTTAATGTCTAGCGGCCACCCTGCTTGCATCTTTCTGAGCCCTGGTTTTTCTGCACTGCAGCATGTGTTCAAGTCAGTACCAGCTGCCCCCAATATCAGCTGTAGAGCCGTTACCTTGTATTGACTCCATATGCGGTAGCTTTGCAATGCTCTTCTCAATCGGCATCATTGAACTTGTTTTTACTCTGTGACGCGAGTTAAGCTCGTTCGGTCTGGTTCGACATGAATGCCAGACCACTCGCTTGTGGGTAGTATAGGCTGCCACAATGCCCAGCTACCGCTTGTCAGAGATAACTAGGGAAAGTGTTCCACCTACTGGGCGTGAGCTTCTGGTGGTGTAGAAGGTAGCTTATGGCACAAGTGGCGGCAACTGAATGCACAGTAATGACCCCTATGTACCCTTCAAAGTAGTCTGCATTGACTATATTAAACCTGTTACTGGTTGCCGCCGTTCGCAAATGCCCGATGCGGTCTATTCTCAGAGTATGAAAAAATATGTATATGGGCGTGATCGCTGTGAGAAGCTCGGATTCACATCAAAGACGCCGCTTGTTTTGTTGGCACACTTTAACGCACAGTCTTGTTTTTTGTCCATTCTCGACCCCGGATTATGCTCTGCCAACAAAATTATTGTTGAGAAAGTATATTCGAATCATCGCGGTTTTCCCTCTGTTGTAGTTCGCGATTAGGCACCCACATCCCGCTGTTGCGCTCCTGTTTGGTGACAGGATAGCGAAGAGGCGCTGCATCTCTTTCACTGTATTGCAGTACGTAGAAGCAGCACGTCACAGTAACAAACACTCTGTGAAAGTTAGTGTTACTGTTGGCCTACCGCATCGCCTCTCATTTAAAAGTTTTTCTTGCATAGGAGTTTACGGGATTTTACGTGCCAAAGTCTCAATACCATTATAAGGCGGACGTCATAGATGGAGTGCTCCGAAAACATTTGAGCACCTTGGGCTTTTTAAAGTGCATTGAAATAAAGGCGGACATTCGTTGCTTGAATTAAGCCCCCTAAAATTGCGCCAGCGTTTCACGCCCAAACAAATTGTTTACAAACTATCAACATTAGGACGCACACGCATTCGTGCAGCCCAAGTAGCCTCAGCTAATTCCACAATACGACTTGTGAAATTAAGTCCAACAGTATTCCTTTCAACAGTATTCTCCGCAGTAACTGTAGCACTGTATTCATCACTCTTTCCAGCAATGCACTTACGATGATGGCATGCAGGATTGGTTTGATCTGTCATTTGTCTGTCACGAACGCGAGCAGCCATGAGGGTTCGTCTGTGCACACTCCTGTAACGAAAGCAATCACGCAGAACACGTGTTGTTTGAATATACGAGGTCTTGTTTTTCTGAACTCGACCTTCATGCCTCTTCGAAAGTTTTATTTTACAACTCTCCAGACAATTGCAAACAGACCGGCGTGGTTTCCGCTAGCACCCTTGGGTGTCTTCGTCACGCTCCACCTTTGTGGCCTGCTGTTGATACCGCTACCACGCGGGAAGCCCCACGTAATCCAAAGATGTAGATGCAGAGACATAAGGCAATCAGAAATAACGCAGCCGTAACTAGCATTTGCAACTACTCTGGCGCAAGCAACGTGCGGGTTTGCTGGCCACGGCATTAACCAGTGACGCAGAGAAGACGATTTCACTCTCACAATGTTCAGAAGTTGAACTTAAACATCTGTAAAGAATAAAATACAGGATCGATTAGTTAAACCTCTTCAAATCACCATTACAGATTCTATATTTCTGCAGTACAAGTGATATATCAACAACAACGGCTCGTATTTCAATGGAAGTAAATGCACGTCAGTAAATAGATGGCTGCGTCAGCATATGCCCCTGTCCATAAGCGGCCAGAGGATGACATTCCTGACAGCTAAACACGAAGTCATCGCGCAACCAGTGTAAGTGTGGCAATGTGATGATTGAACGTAAGGAGTGTAAATTAATTCCTTGTTTTTATTTTGTTTTGTCGAACAATAATGACAACCAACAAATGATCAAGCAAAGTAAGGTGCTTGTTATTTGAAGTAACTACGATGTAACTGCGGAGAAATTTGAGCAGCCTAAAACAATCTGGCTGCTGGAATGAACGAAACCCGCTACGGTCATGTTGCAGACACTTATGACGCATATTACAGTATTTTTTGGTTGCTTCAGTCCGCATTATATTTATTGGTGTGGCTATCCGTCAGCTAATATGATTATTTCGCA